GGTGGTGTGCCCCCCCCCCCCCCGTCTTTCACTGCAGATCTCGAGGCTTGCCCCATCTCCAGCTCGGGGAGGCATCGAGGACCTCCTCGCTGGGACTGCCCTTCCTCCGAGTAGGAAGAACGAAAAGGTCTCATCCTGAAAAGCGCCGGCCTTCGAGCTGAGGGGAAGGGAAATCCACGATGCAGCAGCTGACCACGCAGGGAGAGCAGGAGGGAAGGAGGTGCAGCAGAGCCACGGAACATGTAGACGGGAAGTACCGCCCACGGACGCAGAGTTGGCCCCCACCGCCCTCGGACGCTCTGGAGCTTCAATCTGGTGAGCAGGAGGAGGCAGGAAGGGAGGAGGGATGAGCCAGGAACTGGGAGGTGGTGCAAAGGACGACGGCGGTGGTGCAAAGGACGAGGAGGAGGGAGGAAGGCCCAGACCTCTCCTGGAGCGCGCCCTGACTAGGATTTCAGGGGCGGACCCAGCCGTGGGGCGAGAGGTCCTGGTGCCGCTCGGCGGCCCGTGTCGGCCAGGGCTCTGCTTCCTCGTCGCGCGCGCGAGCGGGAGTTGGGCTCCCTGTGACGCTGTCGGCCTCGCAGCCCCCCGCCGACCCGAGCACGTCAACGGCGGTGGGCGCGGGCGGCTGCGCAGGGGTGCTGCCCGTGAGCGGTGCGCCCGAGGCGTTCTGCGTCGCCACCCGGCAGGGACGGCCTGTTCGGCGGCAGCGCGGGCGCATGCTGGCGCCTGCCCGGGCGGCGAACTCATGCCCGCGTGAGCCGGGGCCGCCAGCGCGGTGTGAGGAGGCCGATGCCGTGGCGGCTCGTGACGCCCCAAATGTCCACTAGTTGGAAGGGCCGCGAGCCGAGAAGAGCATTGGGCGCGTCGCTGCTTTAAGCAGCACCCAGGGCAACAACGAGACAGCTTGTAACATACAGTCACAACCCGAAACGCTTTCCCGTACGCTCCATCTACGGGCTGGTGCTGCGCTTGGCAAGTGCCGCGCCAGTGCTGTTTGGAGCTTCACACGGAGCGGTCCACTCTGATTTTTTTGCGGTGCCGATGCGGCACAGACATAACATTGCACATTCGATCTGATCAGCACCGCAGGTCGGGTGCAGTGTGCAGGTTGGATTGCGCCTTTGTCGCGCTGTGCTCGGGCGCTGGCCTGGTGGGACCGCACCCTTCAACGGCCGACGTGCCTCGAAGAGCTGCGGGTGGCCTGAAGGCGCCTTGAGGTCACAAGTGGTTACTCCCCCTCAGAGGCAACACCGAGCAAAAGTTGTTTCAAGAACTTCTCGAGCCCCGAGATCCGACGTCGGGAAAACCGTTCGCCGTGATGAATCACGGCCGCAACTCCCGACCCCGTCTTTCTGCCTCATTCGTCGGGACGGATCGGTTCGTGAGGGCTCGGGGGAACTGTTCTGGACGGTCGGATCGAAGAACATGCCGCATCGTTCTCGAAGGCCTGCTCCCACAGGGTCGCCTTCTCTCGCCATCGCTCTGGCGTCCATTCCTTGTGCATGTTTCGGTGTTACGCGTGAGTTTTTCGCAAGGTGAATAAACATGCTCCTCGATGATCCTCGCCGGGGAAGAATGCACACGTCCGAGCGATGCCAAGTTGTCCTTCCCCTCCTCCTCCCCCATGCCCTCTCTCACAAAGACTGGTCCTCGGACCTGTTCTGGAGTGGGTTCTGACCAGGTGGTCGAGGTGGATGCCTATGTGGGCGACGAGCCCCACCAGCCCTGAAGCCCCCCAAAAAGAAGAGACAGATGCATACACTATCTTACCACCGCTCGGACGTCCATTCCGCGTGCATGTTTTCGTTTCGTGTGTATGTGTGTGTGGGTGTGTGTCTGTGTGTGTTTGTGTGTGTTGCCAGATGATCTAAGATGCTCCTCGATGGCCCCCGCCGAAAAATGCACACGTCCGAGCGATGCCAAGCTGTAGATACAGCTGGCAAGCCGGAGGTCGGTGCGGATTTCTTGGGTCGGTGCTGGACCTCCCTCCCCACGCTCCCTCCCCAGCGCGCGAAGCACGCTGGAAACGCCGCCGATGGTGGCGGGGGGGGGGCCCAGCGCAGACCCAAGAGATTCGCGCGGACCTCTGAGAGTTCATGCTTATGCAGTTTCTAGTTTTCGATTGCTTGCCGAAGGTTTCCTTCTCGAAGGTCTCCTCCCACATGGTCGCGTTCTCCTCTTGGGAGCCTGTCGCCACCATGCCGTACGACGGCGAGCCGTCGTCGCTGTCCAGGCCTCCATCCAAAGAGCCAGAGACCTCGAGAAGGAGGACGAGGAGGAGGAGTTTGGGAGAGGGGAAGAAGAGTTGAGGTGGGATGATCCTTCCTCGGCCTTGGCCTTGAACCATGAGCTTTTTGGAAGCGAGACGGCGACGAGTAATGAGCGGCCGCAGTCTGAAGGAGCAGGTTGACGCAAACACTTACAATGGCATCGGTGGCCCCATGGATGCTTCTATGGTGAGCCACCGAAACCCGAATTGGTATTGTTCCTGGCCCCCTCTGGGCCTGCCTGTTCGCGCCCCTGGGGCGGGATGGAAGCTCCCAGAGGCCATCGCCCAAGCAATGGAATGGAATGGGGCGGGATGGGATGGAATGGAATTGGATGGGGCGACCGTGCGGGCGATCGCCCAAGACCCGAAAAGGGCGGAGCGGGTCAGGCCGTTGCCTTGCAGACATGGCCTGCGGGCTGGGAGCTTACCCAGAGAGCCCGCGTCGAGGAAGCACCAGGAGTGGAACACACAACAAACAGCGTCTCAGGGCAACTCCAAATACAAGCGCCCGCCCCAAGCCACCCCGGCCGACGGCCCGCATCGAACCCGCCCCCTAATGTAATCCACCCAACCCGTGCCCCGCCAGGGACGGCCCATTCCTATCCCCCGCCCCCCGCGCGCGAACCACACGCCCAGGCTTGTTGAGCAACTCAGGCTATTCCCCGTTATCCCTCCGCCCCCTCCTGGCCATTACTCGCGCATGAGCATTCGTGATGCGCGCTGTGACACCGAGACAGACTTATATCCCAATGGTCGAGAGCATGCAGACAGGGGTGGGGAGACGGACAGGTATGATAAGCAAGACACGCTGTGAGTTTATGTACTATCTGACTTGCGGGGAACATCCGTTGTGTTCGAAGGTTGCTTGGGGGGTGCGTCAGAGGCTTCTAGGGGGAACGGAGTGGGAAACGGAGGAGTCGGAGCAGGCGACGTTCTCAAGGTGGGGTCAGATGCTTCTAGGGAGCAGGAGGAGGAGGAGGAGGAGGAGGAGGAGGAGGAGGAGGAGGAGGAGGAGGGGGAGGAGACAGAGAAAGGAGGTTGAGGAGATCGTCGACGTTCTCAATGTCTGTTCTTCTGATTAGCTCCAGGGATGTCGGAGGCAATTGGAAGCTGCTGGCGGATTCGGAGGTTCCTGATTGCGAGGATGACGAGGCGGCCGAGGAGGAGAGAAGGCGGGAGGAGGGTGGAGTGAGGAAGGGAGGGTGAGGAGGAAGGAGCGAGGAGCGAGGAACGAGGAGAGAGCAGGAGGAGAAAGACAAGGCCGGGGAGCAGGGAGGAGGAGAAGGAGGAGGAAGAGAAGGAGGAGAAGGAGGAGGAGAAGGAGAAGGAGAAGGAGGAGCAAGGGGATCCCGCGTCTCAGAGGGTGCGAATGTCGTGTGGGAAGCCCCGCCTAAACGGTGTCCGGACACGCCTCGGTACGCGCCCTCAAGAGCGTGGCCTCGTCGGCGGCAGTGTTGCTGCCAGCGGCGACGAAGGCGCAGGGCTGCGCGGAAGAAGCCCGAGTTGTCAAAGCCGACGCTTCGGGCATCCGTCAACGCTTCGACGACAGCAGGGCCATCAGAGCAGGCAGCGTCGGGGTCGCAGACCAAGGCAGCCGCACCCCACAACGTTGTGGCAAGGAGGGACGCTGGCAGCACGACGACGTTTAACTCAACGCAGGCGCAGATGTCCTGCAGAGAAGAGTTGGAGCAGCTTCCTCTTGATGCCAGAGCTGTTCTGAGTCAAGCCTGCAGCAAGAACCACCAACGCTTGTCGCCTCCGAAAGCCAAGAGCGGAAGACGCCCCCCGCCTGCATCACGGCATCACCTTGAGCAGGGGGATCGGCCGTGGCGCGGCAGGTCGCCCGCACCAAAGCACGAGCAGCGGGAAGTCCCGCAGAAGACACTGCGGGTGTACGATCGGTAGTCGGCGCAGACTCCTCGCCCTCCCTGACCCAATCCCTTGTTCTTGCACGTGTCCTCTTCGAAGCCGTGAACGTCATCGAGAGCGTAATTAAGGTGTCGTTTTTCGCTTCACGATGCTCTCCCGCCGTACGTAGGCTACACGAGAAGATGCTCATCAAACGCAAGCTGTGCACTATCCGCAAAGTGCTCATCACGTCCGCGTGGATCGACATCTTCTGGCAACGCTGCTCTGGCAACGTGTGGCACGAATCCGGGAAGAGATGCAGCAGATGCCAGACGCAGAATCTCATGCGGGCCAGACGGGGAATCAGACCTACCAGTGGTGAGATCGCAATCGCATGTCGGCACCATGTATGGGGAGACGGACGGCACCGATACCGCTGCTCCCTGGACATCTCCCGGGGTGCGCTCGGACCAAAACTTCGAGGCGACTCCAACGGTGGCGACGAGGGCCTCCCCGAGGGAAGGGCAGCGGCATGGGTACCTTTTCCTCCTCTGAGCGTGCTGTGCGCGACGACTTCAGGAGCGAACGCGACGATGTCCAACAGAGAGTCGAGCAGGCGGGCTGCTTGAGCGCAAGGCGGCCGGGACGCCGAGCCGGAGGTCAGGGCCTGGTGCGCAGAGCTCTCGGGCTTCGTCGCAGCTTCCGGGAGGGGCCCGCACGACCGCCGAAGGGATCCGCGGCGCGACGAGCCCATCATCGGAAACAAGATAGCCCCTAATCCTGCTAATGCTAAAGAGACGTGGCCTCGCTGAGGTCCCATTTCCGCATTCGGTCAGATCAGTGTTGGCGGCTTGGTTCGATGCATCTACAGAGCAGACCACCTATCCCTAATGCTCCTGGCGCTCCTCAATTAGGTCGCTTCCCAAAGGGTTCGGGGCCCTTTTAATACCTAGTCAACCCAGACCCCATCGAGCCATGAAGAATTCACCAGATGAGATTGTTTCACTATTTTCGGTCTCGGGGGGCGTCGGGAGATCTCCAGCAGAGTCCTGCGCGACCATCGTTCGAGTAGGAGATCGACGGCAGAACCGTCTTTCCCAAAAGCTGATGTTGTCGTCGAGTCTACGAGACAAATACGTATAATGCCCCGTAGATATGCCGACCTGCTAGGTATTTGTTGTAGTCTCGGCGAAACATTCAAGTCTGGGATACGTGCAGTTTGCAGTCGACCCCCTAGTCGAACCGAGAGGACCCACACTGCCAAGGAGGGAGATCCAGCACAGCGGTCCTGGGCTTCGTCGGATCCCGCGCGGCCAGCGTGAGGCCCCGCACGCGGAGCGCGAGGGTCGGCACCCAGCTGGAGGGTAAGCTTTTCGTCCAGTACGACCGTCGTGCAAACCCACAAAATGGCGGGGGGGGACATCCAGCGCCGAGGCCGCGATGGGCAGCGCGCTGGTCCTGCGGGTCGTCTTGCCATGCAGAGGGCATCGCACGACCGCCTTGCGGATACGCAGCAATCCGAATGAGACATTCAGCACAAAGACCTCGTGGTCCGTCGTCGCGGCCAGGGAGTTCCGCACGACCGTCTTGAAGATCCACCCGAAGAATGCAAATGGGCAGCCTATAGGACTTAAATATCATCTTGACGTCCAGGGAGCTCCGCACGGCCATCGGGGAGATCCGCAGCAGGACGAACACGAAACTTCGCATGCAAGTTTGGGGGGGCCGCCGTCAGAACGCTGGAGTTCCGTGCGACCGTCGCGAAAAACCGTTCGCAGGCCGCGGTGGACCGCACATAGACATTGAGGTTTGTCCTGGCGTCCATTGCGTTCTGCATGGCCATCGTCAAGATTCCCGACACGATAAAGGGGAAGAGCAACATTGAGAACGTGGACTTCGCCTTAGAGACCGGGGGGGCCTTCCGTACAACCATCGTGGGGATCCGCCCGCGGACCGTGATGATCAACACCTTGATCATGGAGTTCGTTTTGACGTCAATGGGGATGTGCGGCGGCAGCATGCCGATCGCCTCTGTTCTGAACTGCGTCTGGTCGTGTAGAATTTTTAAAATTTGGCTCCGCAGCAACCCAAGCACAGCATGCAGCTGGAGAGTGGCCACCCGATCCTCGAAAAAATACAGATCTCCACCTCGAAACCGCTGCCGTGCATGAGGGACAAATGACGCAGTTTCAGCCACGCCAGACGGCGACGACGAAAAGTCGAGAAGATCAATATGTAGATCAGGGTCCACCGAATGAGGGCTAGCAGCTGGTGCTGCCTGATGGACGCTGGCCTCAGCGTCCAGGTTCAGGTCACAGGGGAAGTTCTGAGCCACGGTGGTGGGCGACAGACACTTCAAAGTTTGCGCATGTGTCTGCGTGCGCAGGCGGGAGCACCAGCGGCAGATTGAGCACCACCAGGAATGCATTGTTTAGCTCGACCACCGTGCATTGACAGCTTGCATCGCGCAGTTAACTCAACGGGAAATGCGAAGAAACTTGTTGGATGACATACCATAAGTCATGAGATTGAGAACGTTCGTTGGATTGCAGATGGACGCGCAAAGACATGCCAGCGACCATCTCCTACAGATTGTCATGCAGGCCGTCGGGAAACGTGAACAGGCGGTAACCGACGGGAACATGTTTCTTGAAGCCAAGTTCCAACGCCCGAAGTGTGCTGACATTCGCCGCCGCGGCAGAGCGAGTGCGCACCATGCAAATAGAAGCACCACTGCGTCATCGCCAGAGAAGCAGGGAGGGATGCGGAATGTGCGGTCCGCGGGCCTAGCATGAGATTTGATGAAAAATGGTTTGAACCAAATTGAATACGAAGGAGGATGAAAGGGAGGAGGAGAGAGGAGAAAGACGAGAGGCAGAAGGAAAACCAAGAGGAAGAGCACGATATTGACGACGAGCAAGATGATAATACGTGCCGCACCTTGCGCTGCATCAGGGCGCGTGTGGACAGAACCGCATGCAGGAAAAGCACCCCCGCGTTCCGAGGAAAGCGGGGCATCGTGCTTGAATGTGGTAAGGAAAGGTGCTTGGTCGAAATGAATGCGCTGAGAGTCCAACGCTCAATCAAGGAGCCTCGCGGCCCTCGTCGGACATTGAGCCAAACTTGGCTGCGGACGTACCAACCATGCATCGTTTGCTCCCTCTCGATCCCCCATCCTTCGCACACTCGTTCCCTCCGAACCTCCCTCTGTCTCTTGGGGCAACCGCCATGGCAACCCCGATGAACGGCAGAGGAACGCGGAGGGATTGGGTACAAGGGCAAATGGACCCTCCCCCCCTCCTCCTCCCCCTCCTGCTCCTCGTCCTCCTCCTTCTCCTGCTCCTCCTCCTCCCTTTCATGTTCCTCCTCGTCTTTGGACATCCGTAAGACTAGAAGCGTCCGGAGGACCCCGTAAGTGCTCGAACCAGGCAGAAGCCTCAAGCGGCCCCGAACCAAAACAAATATCAAACAACTTGCGTAATAAACTCAATCCTTGAGCGTCCCGAGCGCTCCTAGGTCCCCCAATTCTTTTCAAACCCTCCGATCTGCCGCCCCAATCCCTCACTGTCACGGGGCCCCACTGCGCCAAACCCCCCAGTAGGCAGGAGGAGGGGAACGAAGGGGAGGATGATGAGGAAAACATGGAGCAGGATGATGAGCAGGAATGAGAGGAAGGGGGGGAAGAGGAGGGTGAGGACAGTCATGGACCCCAAGACGCATCAACGATGTTGCAAAAAAGTCAACCCTATAAATTCCCTCCTGATAGGTCCTTGCACACATGTGTTTTCATTGCAGGAAGTTCCCCGTTCAAAAGCAACTGCCGGGGAATCCGAAAATCGCGCGAGAACACCATTCGCCTCGAATCAACATGACCGTTGCGTTGTGACAATCCTGAATCGCGCCACAATGCCATTCCTGGAGCTGCGACACCGCGGATCAACGTGACAACTGCGTCCTGACACTCGTAAACCTTGCGAGAACACCGTTCCGGGGACTCGAACCACACGAATTCCTGAAACTGTTGCACACCACCCGCCCTCCATCCTTGAAGCTGCTGCGAACTTAAAAACGAATGCGCGAGGCGCTCAGGATCACCCACCCCCAATCCACCCGCCCCCTATCCATCTTTGAACTTGTTGCAGAATTCAAGCCTCAGAATCACACTTTGCAAGGACATATCAGGCGAACCGCCAGGCCTCCCACTGCTGACACGTCTGGAGGCGCGACAGGAAGGAATTAGTGACAAGGTAAAGGGATGTAGGAGGAGGAGGAGGAGGAAAAGGAGCGGAGGCATGAGCAGGATGAGCACCATGAGGAAGGAATGGAGGAGGCAGGGGCAGGAGCAGGAGCGGGAAGGGGAGGAGGAGAGGAAGTATCGAGTGTCGAGCTTCCAAGAATCGCTCGACCGATCGCGCGGAAGCGCCCGTCGCCGCCCTCGGACTCCCGCGCAAGCGGAGCGACGTGCTCAGGGGAGCGGCGCGCGAGGCGCAGGCGGCGTGTCGGCGGAGGCCCGTGCCGCGGCAGCCAGCCCGGCGGGCTCGGCGCGGCGGCCCCCTACCCGCCGCGAGGGAGGTCATCGCCCGCGAGGCCGCTGCGGCGGGGCGCCTGCGACGTGCCGCAGCGCTGGGCGCGGGGCCGACTGCCGCCTCGAAGACCGCGGGCGTGCTTTGGCGTGCCTCCCCCGGCACCTCCTGAACGGGAGGCGGCAGGTGACCCCACGGGGTCCGCGACCAGCGGGGCTGCGTCGCCCAGGCGGGCCCCATCGCGGCGAGGCCGCGCGGCCCGCGGGCAGCTGGGCCGCGCGGCGGGGCGAGAGCAGCGCGCCGCCCTCTCGCTCGCCGCCTCCCGGGCGGCAGCCACGGCGCCCGCGGCGCGGCAGCGACGCCGTCCTGGCGAGCCGCTGACGGGGCCCCGCCCCTCGCGCCCGCGGCGCGCGCGCCGCGGTCGGGCTGGGCGGCGGGCGCCGGCTCGTCAGCCTCGCGGCGCGGCCGCATCGCCCTCGGGCCGCCGAGGCTGCCGCGAGCCCGCTCGGGCTCCGAGGCGGCGCGCGGTCGGCGAGCGCCCGGAGGTCAGCCCAATCAGCCACCGTCGGGTCCAGGGTCACCGCCACGTCACCGCTCCGCACGTCCAGCCGCTCCCTCCGCGCCGGTTGGCCCTGTGGCGAGCCACCCTCGTTCGCCGCCGAGGGCCCGCGGCCGCGGCTCGATGAGCCCGAAGAATTCTCAAAAGCTGCGACTGTGCAAGCTTTCTTCTGCCTGGCTCTGGAGCATGTCGGAAGACTTCTAGATCCGAGACTCGCCGGCCACGGACGGCGCAACAAACATGCACGCACGCACACCTGCAGCAAATCATGCGGCGAATTGCTCGCAATCTTGCGCTGCATGGCGTGGCAACGATGCTCCGGACGATGCTCGCCGCCGAGGGCCTGCGGCCGCGGCTCCGCCCGCGCCACTCAACACGAATATGGCAGGTTCGCGTCGTGACGACTTCGGCGTTGGCTCCCGACACCGCGGGGATCCCTCAACCTTGAACAACCGCCCGTTTCCGAAACGTCAGATCTTTCAACATCGACTGGCTCTGGGTCGCCAACGGCGTTCAACATTGAGCGCCGGCGGCGGGGTCGCCGCCGGTCGACACGACGCGAACTTACCATACGAGTCTCCCCTCCCCCAAACATGGCCGGGGAGCGCCCCCTCCTCCGCGCATCGTTTCCACACGCAGGATTTCAAAAGTTTGCCATTCCAATGGCTCCATTTCCTATCGGAACGCTTCGGTGTCTTAGAGTGGTGCTGTCGCTGCGGAGTTGGTCTCAAATTAGGATCGGCGCTTTGCCCTCGTCTTTCAGAATTCGCTCCAGCGCGGGCCACTTTTCCGGATCCGAGTTTTGCCTTCTCGTTGTCGCCCCCCTCTCCCGCACCCCACTCGGAATGGAGGCAGCGCTGATCCAAACACCGAGCCATTGAAGTGTATGATGGGATGTCGACTGCAGCGTCTGTGCTGTTCTCCTCACTGCGGCGTGGCTGGTGCTCCGCTGATATTGTGACACATCACGCACACACACACACACTTTGAGGCGTGCCATGGGCTGCCCAAACAGGACTCCTCATGAGGGGGTTCGTGGCCCTCCTGATCGCTCGTCCTCTCGGCTTTCGCGTGGGCAGTGCCGGCCCTGCAGTCAGAAAACACAAGAGAAAGGAGGGGGGCGGCGGACGAAGGGGATGAAGATGAGGATGAGAAAGACGAGAAAATGAGGGGGAGAGATGGAGGAGAAGGAGGAGGAGGAGGAGAAACAGAAGGAGGAAGAGGATGAGAAGGAGGAAGAGGAGGAGGGGGACGGAAAGACCACGACATAAGAAAACTACTCGGCGGCACTGAGTTCGATCGTCTCTGCAACCGTTCGAGAAACTTGGCACCTAGGCGGCCCTCGGCATCAAGCTTCACCCGGCACCACGCCCTGCAGGCTCTGAGGTGCTCGGGCCCCAGTCCGCCCTTGGGCGTGGGGATACGCGCGCACGGGGGGGACGGCGGCGCGGCTCGAGAACAACAACTGGCCCTGCAGGGCGGCCAAGTTATCCAGCGGAGTATGGCCTCGCCTTCACCCGTTTGTTTCAAACCTTGCGCTCCTGCGCAGTGAACCTGCGGGAGTCCCCAGGGACCCCATCGAGAGTCGGAGTCTCCGAAAGTAACGTCCGAACGGCCGAGGGGGTCCCTGAGAGTGAGAGAGAGAGAGAGAGAGATCAGCAGGGGCAGCAACCACCTCGCGCGGGGCCATAGAGGCCGCTTGCGCCTGAGCCTCAGCAGTAGCCCTGAGCGCAGCAGCGTCTCTGTCCTGTACTGCAGGTCCGTGCCGTGTCGACCCTGGCGTTGGTTCCCGACACCGCGCTGGATCGTTCAACCTTGAACGATCGGCCGTCTCCGCAACGTCCGATCGTTCAACATCGACCGATTCTGGGCCGCCGTCGGCGTTCAACGTTGAACGTCGGCGGCGGGGTCGCCGCCGGTCGACACGACGCGAACCTACCGTACCTCCCCCCAACGCCTTGCCCATCCTCCTGGCGCGGAAATTGAGGCCGAGGAGAAAGGAAGGAGCGACCAGAGCCCCCGAGGAGCCGGACGCCGCCGCGAGTGGCTGGCCAGCCGGCTCGGCGGCGACCGCTCGCCGAGGGCTCCGCATCCGAGCCCGCGCGCGCGAGCCCCGCCGCGCGCAGGCGGCGTCCTTGTCCGAGGCCCTTGTAGCCGCGTCCGTCAGGTCCTCGAAGGCGCCGCGGACGCAGGCCTCCGGTCGGGCTGCGCGCAGGGTCAGCGGCCACGGGCAAGGGCGGCCCGGGGTGCGCCGCCATCACGAGGATGGATGGATCGAGGATCGAAGATCGAGGAAGAGATGGTCGACGAGGAGGAGGAGGAGGAGGTGGAGGAGGGGTTCGCTCCTCCTGAAACTCATCGTTCTCCTTCCGTTCCTCCTTCTCCTCATCGTTCCTCCTTCCTCTACCTCTTGTCTCCTCCCACCCACAACCACAAGAACAGCCACCCGTCTCCTCTCCCCCTCATCTCTCTTCATCCCTCTTCCTCCTCCTACTCCTCCTCCTCCTCCTCTTCCTCCTCCTCCTCCTCCTCCTCCTCCTCCTCCTCCTCCTCCTCCTCCTCCTCTTCCTCCCCCCATTCCTCCTCCGCCTCCTGATTCTCCTCCTCCTCCTCCTTCTCCTCCTCCTTCCTCCCTCCCTCTCGGGCCAGGACTCCTCTTTCTCCTCCTACTTTCTTCTTCTTCCTTCCTCCAGCTCCTCTCTCGGAGGGGTGGAGGAATAATCCGCCGGCCCCCTTGGCGGCAACCAGGCTGCGAGGATTAAGGTTGCTGTTCCCTGCGCCCGTTCCAGGTTCCAGTTTCCAATGTTACAGTATTGCTGTCTGCTTCCTACTGTAAATTGTTACTGTCCGCGCGAGAGGGGGGAGCCGAAAAGGGCCCTGGTTAGCGTCCCCCGGGAGGGTTCTCAGAATTCCTGGGGCGGCATGGGACACGTAAAAATGCATGAGATTCGTACCCCCGAGGCTATAATCCCTCGCGCATTACGCTGCATTCGCGCCCCCGAGGCCCCGATCCATTGTAAATTACCACGTTGTCGCGTCTC